ATAATTTTATTATATAATATATATATTATATATATATATATATATAATAGATTTGACCAATCTGACCAGACCAATTTGACCAGTAAATTTTTGGTCGACCACTAATTTGCCCGGGTTTACTTTAATTATTCCGACTGTTTTTATATTATAGAATTTAAATTGCAAATTAAATTCTTGGAAACAAATAAGTATAGATCTGTTACCAAAGCTTATATATGTTATACGTTAAATTGAAATTTGTGTCAGATCAAAATTTCAAACTTTTAATTAGGGTTAGGGTGCTAACTTAATCGGCGAACACTAGTTCAACATTGTCCAACATTGTCATATAATTGACGCGTTAGCAACAATTAAGAATACCAAAAACAGCTTAACCTGATAAAGCCGGCAATACCAGCACAGAAGAAGCAACACCTAAACTACGTACCTGATAATGACACAAATTCCTACTAACAACGGCCAACAACAACGGCGACACACAATTTACCAATGCACCAACGACGAAGCCGAAACTACGACACCAGGATCTGCAGCAATATGAAACTGTAAAAAAAAAATGCTAATGAGTAACTAGTATAACGTGCGTTAAAACAAAAAAAAAAATTCAACTGATCTAATCAGTTGATGATCATTATTTATACCCCATGATCAGGGGGTGCACCATGGTGCACGGTTATAATTTCCATTAATTAAATAGTAATACGTACAGAAAAACCACACTAAGTGGGACCACATATATAGAGGGTCCGAGCCAGTACGAGCAATTAAGAAATTTAAACTGTGCATTTATAGTCCGTGCATCTTAAGAGAACTTATATAGGCAGTATATTTATAGAAGGTTCGTTTAAAGAACCTTTCTGTATTATTTTTTTAATAATTAGAAAAATAAAAATAAATAACGATAAATAGAAAAGGTCAATTGGCTAAATAGTACTTGCAGAATATTTAGCATATGGGTGCCATCAAGGGGAGACTTGTTAAATTTATAATTTATCGGACACAATTCAAAAAATTAGATGGACCGAATCTGGTAAGTAATTAGTTTACTTTTAAAGAGCAAAGATAAAGATAAATTACCGTTACCTTTCATAAATTAATGGCATCTAAAAAAGAATTGAATGAATAAATGGCCATTATTGTGCGTGATAGTTTCCGCGAATCTTTGATTGCCGATCATTTTTGCAGGGTATAGGGTCAATCAATATCGTTATTATGTATTATCACATAGCAGTATAATGGCAAATAATTTAGTATTATTTTTACTACATATAACTGATAAGTTATACGTAATTTTACATACAGTAATTAAATGAATATGTACAAAAGAAATTCGACCACGTGATTCACCGTGCATTAATTAGCATTGACGGGTAACAAAGGTTTCTTACCAATAATATTTTGTAATGTAAATATTGGTCAATATGTTTCATGTTGGTGTTTGCAAGGTAAGGAATATTACCATGTGCTGCGCGTGCCATTGATAGCCTATCCAATCAACTACATGAACTCTTATCGTTATGTTGGCCAATTTTAATTAATATCGAGTAATCTCAAAAGTTTAACAATCAAATAAAGATCAAAACTTGGAGATAACTAATTGATAAAATTGATAGTGCCAATTAAAGTTTTAACGTCATCCCTCTCTTATTGATCTGCTCCCTCGCAATCCCCAATAAAACCATAACCTATAAATATTTTGACCAATAACATTCGATTATTATGATCAGCTGCATGCATTAAAGTTTTGTTAATTTCGTTTAATTTTAGTTCAACTCGTCCAAAAAATTGACGTTTAAATTAAAAACAGCTCGACTTTAAAAATGGTTTAATAATTACTCAATTTAGTATAAATATCTTTCACTAAAAAGTGTAATGTATTTTTATTTTTTGTTGGCTTTAAATAGGTATGTTATCTAGGATTGGATTAGATTATGATTCTGAAAAAAGAGACTATTACAATCCCTTGATTATATCATCAATATCATCAAATATTGATATGAGATTATCACATGCCAGATGTGAAAGATAATAAATTCTAATAGTATCCTAATGGTAAGGGATGCGTATCTTATATAATTTTATATAATTTGATATATATTTCGCATAACAGATAATAATAATGGCATATTAAAGTGCAAAAAAGCGCATGTAATGATACTGTAGTGTATTATACGTACGTACGTACGTACGTATGTACTTACAGCACATAGCAGATACGTATAACAGATAAATTAAAAGGTGACATTTTACGATATATATCGTATGTGAATATATGCGTGAAGCGCATAAATTCAACACTCGCGTGACTTTCTAAGGTAGTACGGCTGCAGATCGATTTTATTTATAAATAAGATTCCAAGTTAGTTTAGCTTTAGTCCGAATTCTTTACAGTTACTTTACGTACGAATGGATGTTATCGCAATTATAAAAATAATAAAATTTCGTGAATTATTTTCTTCGATTTCATTAGATCCATAGTTGAAAATATTTTATTGTTTCCCGAATTTTCTAGTTCTAATAAATATTAATAAATAGTAATTTGGTACGTTCGATAAATTTTCTTGTAAATATGGATAAAATTTTTTGAATAATTACTGCGTTCTTATTACACAACTGATAAAATTTAATAAAAAAAACTACAGAATTGAATTTTCTTATTCTTTTACGATAAAGTTCTTAAAAATTCAATTTATTTGGATGTATATATACGGTAATTATGTACTATTTATTAGTTAAGAGTTGTGTTTGCAGAATGTTATTTTCGATATATATCTTACATAATTTTTTCGTGTTGGTAATGTACAAAAAAAAAAGCGATGGATAAAAGTACAAATAGATATGGGACATCTCGTAAGGCAACACAGAAAGTTGTTCAAAAAGTTAAAACTCCAACTACTTCAAAGCTCAAACCACCTAAACACTCTGCTTCTCCTTCGAATAAAATTGATTGTGAACCGAATCCTCCTTCTATTCCGTCTAACCGACCAAATAATAATTCATCCTCAATCTGTGGACAAAGTCTAACTGGTAATTCTGGTGACTCTAAAATAATAGAATGTCAACCAATCATCGAGTCATATGTTACTGCATCACCAAAATTACCTGCAAAAAAATCTGTTAAGAAAAAGTCA